GACAACCCCGTAACAATATGCGTTTTGTACTGCTGTTACACAGCACAAAACGCATAAAAATCAGCACAGATGAACACACAGATACAAACACATAGACAATCCCTCGTCAATATGCGTTTTCTGCATTGCATAGATCCAAAAACCGTACAAAAACCCAGAATGTAGATAAAGAGTTCGATTCCTTCTCGCCCTATGTCTTTTGCGAGATGGGTTTCGTTCGTAACACATTTCAAAACTGATGTAATAAAAAAAGCGTTGGACGTAAATACGCTCTTAAAAAATGCTTCAGGCACAGTATTAGATAGATTCAGATTCAAACCACAGCATCTGGCTTACCCGATCTAAATCCATCATAACAAAATCGCCCGAATATATAAAAAGAAACAAACCAAAGTATCCACATTTGTGTACACATCGGGCGATACTTCCAGCGGATGTTCCCCATAGATAACACTAATATTTCGGACATCCACCAATGGTACAGTTATTACTGCATGTGTTGTTTTGATACTATTGCGTTGTTTCAGTAGCCACAAGTAATGCCTGAGGAAGAGGCGTTGCTGTTCAGCGTGCTGCACTGATTTCGGTCTTATTAACGGCAAACACCAGGAAAGAGCCTCCTCTTTTTGCTCACTCTCGTTCGCCAGTGTATAGAGAATATGATCCTGAAATTTTACTGGAAACTCAATAATTCTGGATTCTACTTTAGTTACTTTTTTTAAAAATCGATTTTTCTACTGCAACAGATATATCGATTTTTTTAAAAATCGACCTTTTAACTGCAACAGCCTAGGACCGAAAAGACCAGCATAGTATATACTGTGAAAATCAGAGTTATTTCGCCAAAACGGAATTCAACGAAGTAATTTTTAGCTGTAGTTCAACTGACAATTAAAATTTTTCTAACATAAGAATCACAAAATGCAGGATGAGCGAAATCGATTTCATTCACGCATATAAAAATTTACCTCTGCGAACACCCAGTGCTTGGAAAGATATTCGGGAAGGGCTCGTTTGTAGCACTCCATGGACAACTGCTTCTGGCCAGCTTTTGACATTCGATGACCGGCTAACACATAGTGGAATGCCATTTTTCGACGCATATTTGCTTGACCAAAATAGACGCTTGCACGCTCCAACAGCACACCACTGAATAAGTCATCATCCTGGAATAGACATAAAGGGCAATAATAAGAGAAAACGAAGAAAAACTATCAAAAACTTGTGAAGCAGACAACTGGCAGTGCTAACTGTGACGTCCACACGCGCTTTAATTTTGTCGGAGCTAGTACGTGGCAGATAATCAAAGAACATTATCTCCATCACTGGTAGCGTTAAAATTTAATCGCATTTTAATGAAAAATTCTGAAAGACTTACAAAACTAGTGAGCCTTAAAAGCTGCGTACAAGCTTCATAATATAATTCCAACGAAGAAAGCATTAGCGCGCTTAGAAGCACTGCACGCATTGCCAAAATTGGTCGTCTGAAACAATAAACAACTGAAGTTTGCTAAAAACATCAAACAACGATTTATTTCCTCTCTTATCTTTTCCCTCCATATTCCCTTTCCCTCCGGCACCCTGCGAGCAAAAATGTGGGGGAAAACTCGTAAAAGTCGGAAAAAAAGAAGTTGCCACGGGGAAAAAATGTATACTGCATATGGAATGCAACAAGAAAAGAAAGGTGCACTCCACTTTGAAAAACAGATACACAGTAGATGTGCTGCCACGCTGCTCCTAGGAGGCATAGGGTTGGTGGTGTAGTGGGTAGCATGTCACGTCCAGATGTGAAGGAGTGGTTCGACTCCGAACCGCGTCACGACCGTTTTTTTAAAGGAGCTCTGCTCACAACAACTTGTGCATTTAAGACGTAACAACTTCTTGATCATATAACTTATTAGGCTGTGAGGTAAAGGAAAAAGGGACCGCGGTTATGACGACAAAAGAACACTTTTTGTCATAAGCAATCTGAAAAACAATTAAGGGATCTATGTATTACAATGCGTGAAGTAAAAATCTACCGTTAGGTGTGCAGTCGTAGCCTATTTACTTTGTCTTTCAATTCGTAGAATAAGACGTATGGCATATTACTGAAACGTTTTTGTCAGCAGCGCACGTCATATTTTGGCCGAAATCAGGTTCTTTTTTTTCTTGTTTATTTCTAGCAGCCCCGTTAAGGACTTTTTTAACCATCAATGAAATGTATATTTTTCACTTAGTATACAATACCACTTTTTCGGCCTCCCCCGCCCCCTCCCTTCCCCCCCTTCCTATCCCCGACACCCTAAATATAAAAACTTCGCAACCTATTACGATATTTTGCCAAGTACCATCGTTTCTTTTCCCAAACCTAACTAAGTTCATCAAGTCGAAATTAATTTTATCGAATGTAATATAATTTAAACACCAACACGCTAATGGTCGCATAAAAATTGATCGCATCATCCATATAATGCTGCGGATAATGCTTGGCAGTGATCTGTGGTGTACCTAAGAACAAGCTTAGGGCTGCCATCTCCTGCAAAACGAAAATAGCATCATACATGGCCTGCACAGCTGTTACAAACTGAAAACTTATAGCACGATGAATGATTGGGCGAGCTGACCGAGTTGTCCTTCCATACTAATCAAGCAAACCCAATGGCCACAGTGAAACATTCTCATCAGCAGAAATATTGGTTAGTTACACCTTCTTCAAAGTCTAACGGTTATTTTATGAACAAGTTTTCATGTTCTAATCCCTAGCATGCTTGGCCTGCTGGCACCATCGAAAAGAACCAAATAACTGCAGAAGGACCGGCTCCCGCCTTTCCTTTTCCCTCCCCCCGTCCCTTCGTCCTCCTCGTTAAGATTTACCAAACTTTTGTGAGAGAGTAGCTTTAGTTCATCATAAAGCTTGCATTCAAGCAAATTAAGGAAAAACAGCTTACCAGTGCTCCAGCATTATAGAGCCAAGCTTGATCAACAGCGAATTCCTTCCTAACAGCCTGATAAAGTTGATATGCAAATGAATAGAGGCCAAAAATGAAACAGATATCTGCTAATCGTCTAATTTGCATTTCGCCACTATCTAACGAATATCTGAAAATCCGAATTTCAAAAAATTCCTCTGTCCAATGTTGTAATCGCCTGGTGGTCAGTCTGCTAACAATTCTAACGCACATTTCGTTTAATAAAACAGAAAACAGCTTCATTTCT